AGTGATAACACTCGTTGCCTTCTCTAGTGCAGCTCAACCAGGTCTCGTCCCATTCGTCGGTATTTGTGATATCACAAATCCCGGAAAATATGCGTTGTAGTCCAAACGGGTCGTTCGTTGTAGTTTTTGAAAAGTGATTTCTGTTAAATAAAATATCTCCTTTTGAAGTGGACTTTGAGCTTTGTAACTTTGCAGATCTTTTTTATGCTCAAACAGCAACATTACAGACTAACTAAAGTTGAAAAAGTGAACAAGCATAATAGGACCCCTTTAAAAAAAGCCCAAACTATTACTATCTACTGTATAATGCTAAGAGTGTATTTAGGCTACATTTACAACGACTTTGAATACGCTTTATCCAATAAATTACAGCATTTTTGAACTTCCAGTTCTTGAATAGTAGAGAATACTTGTCTCATGAATATTAATTAGACAATGCTGACGTTTCTCAATGGCTCTGGACGTCACATAACCTAATTAATTAATATTCATTACCCAATTCATTACCATAGCATAAAGAGAATACATTTTTTATCAACCAAACATCTTGAAAACATGGAAACATGAACAGAGAACAACAGAATATACAGAAAGAATACAACAAATGCTTTTGATGAGATGATATAAGAAGCTGCCATTGCTCATCACATTATCTGAATAATAATAATAATAATAGTAATTACAATGAATAAAAATGGGGGGGGGGTGCAGCAAAAGACGTAAAGCTTGATCTTGACCATTGCATATCATATTTTATGGCTAAATTATGGCTTAATTATCAGGTTTCTTAATTCTTCGCACCACCACCCTGTTCCTGCATCCCTGTCTTGTGCCAGGCTCAGGTGGGTTTCCCTCTCCTTCAGGTGGCCGCTCCAGCTCGAGGAGGTGAGTGACTCCTGCCAGTTCTGGCTTCATCCACAAACAACTCTATTCCCTCAAACTTTGTGGTCAGTTCCGCTAGTCTCTCTTTCAAGGAATTAAATTCCTTGTACAATAATTTAGAGCTTCAGATAATGGCTGGATCCTGGAAAACACATGAGATGGAGCAAGCATATAAATATATGTTTCATATAAATATATTTATTTATTTGAACATACCTTCCATAATCTGTTAGCACTGTGCTGTGATCATTCAGAAGGAGGTCAACTTGGGTCATGATGGCATATTTCCAGTTATCCAAGACTAAAGTGAGATTGGCACATCCTCTCAAGTTCACTTTCTCAG